AGATAATTTTTAATTCTACTTATTTTGCTCCAACCGACACCTTTTTCGTTGAGTCCTTGCCGAAAAATTACTTTTACTTTCATTTACTTTAAAAAAAATATAATAGAAGGAATTGTATAACTGCAAGTCCAGAAATTGGGCCAAGCATATTAGGGGGGTTCGAACTTCCAATCCCACTAAAGTCAAGCGGAAATCCACTCGGCCATGCATGCAAACGTTTGATGGATATTTTTTTGGAAAAAAAATATATGATTCAAATATCATTGATAGCGGCAAAGCAAATCTTAAAATGATTAATTGGTATTTTTTTTGATTTAATATATTATATAATATATTTATTAAAAATTATTATTTATTAATATACAATTAAAAATAAAAATATTTAAAATATATAATCATGTATATAAAATATAAAAATAAAATAAATTGATTATATTTATATTATATTTTAATAAATAAATAAATATTAAAAATATATTAAACTAAAAAATACACCAATAATTTATCTATTCTAAAATTACAATTTTTTAATAAAATTTTTATTAAAAATGTTTTTAGTTAAATTCGATTTATAATAGATCAAAGTTTTCAAAGTAATAACCAAAAATAAAAAACATGACATGGGACTATTACATTTTAAAAAATTATTTATTTTTTTGAATATAAAAAAGAATATACTTTTCCATGTTACACTTCAAAAGAGGGCAAAAACCAATATTTAGCTCCTTACCTTACAAAATTAGTAGGTTTTAGCCCCTCATCTTATAATATGATACTTTTAGTCTTTTACCTTATAAAGGTGGTAGGTTTTAACCCTTTATCTTACAAAATTGATAGGTTTTAACCTTTCACTTTATATTATGACATTTTTAGCCCTTTATCTGTACGAATTGAAAAAAAAAACCCTTATTTAATATCAGGTTATAATGTTTTATTAGTTCTGTTAGCTAACTATCGGTTTTGTTAGTTAACTGTCAGTTTTGTTAGTTAATTGTTAGTTCTGTTAGTTAACCGTTAGCATTTTGTTATAAAAAATATGAAATTTAAATTCAATTTTATTTGTTAGTTCCATTAATGGAATGCTAACGGATGTTAACAGTCAACTAACAGAATTAACAGAACGTTATAATCTGATGTCAAATGAGGGTTATTTTTTTTTTATTCATATTGGTGAAGGGCTAAAAATATCATAATATAAGGTAAGGGGTTAAAACCTACCAATTTTGTAAGGTGAGGGGTTAAAACTTATAAACTTTGTAAGATAAAGAGTTAAAACTTACTAATTTTGTAGGATAAAGGGCTAAAACTGTCATGTTATAAAGTTATGGACTAAACATTGGTTTTTGCCTCAAAAGAGAATATAATTGAAGGAGTTGTGTACATGCAAGTGTAGAAGGGCAAAAACCTACTTTGAGCCCTCATCTTACCAAATTTGAAGGTTTTAACCCCTTACCTTATACTATGATACTTCTAACCCCTTACCTTATTATAGTTATAGGTTTTAACCCTTCACCTATTAAAATCGAAGAAAATAGCCCTTATTTTATACTGACTATTAACTCTGTTAGTTGAAAGTAGATTTTTGTCAATTAATTGTCAACTAATAGTCAGTTAACAGAATTAACAAAATATTATAAAATTAGTTATGTTAATTTTGTTAATTAAAAGAATGTTTTTGTTAACTAACAGTCAATTAACAGTCATCTAATAGAGTTAATAGTCAGCTAATAGAACTAATAAAATGCTACAAAATGAGGACTATTTTCTTCAATTTTAATAGGTGAGGGGCTAAAAATATCATAATATAAGTTGAAGGGCTAAAACTTTCAAATTTAATAAGTTGAGAGGCTAAAAATAAGTTCTTGTCGTGTAGAAATAGGTATTTTATTTTATTTTATTTCTTTTTTTAACATAGGTCTAGAAGAAGGTAACGAAAAAAATTAGATACTGAAAAATAAATTAGGTCCACGAAATTAGAAGGTAGCATCTAGCAGATTTGCCCGATTTCAATTGCAACCTATTTTCAATGTAAATTAAAATTATTATCTTAATTAATTATTACATTTGATGTAAAATTTAAACTTAAAAACAAAATATTATATATATATATATATTACATTTAACATTTTTTAAAAGTTTAGAAGGCAGCTTGTCTACACCAACTCCCCTTTGTGTGCTTTGGGCCACATGGCAAATCAATGATTGATGAATTAGATAATACAAGTCAACAAAAAGAATTTCGTTAATCTAGTTGACAGAATGCTTTTATTTTTTTTGAAAAGCTAAGTGATGGAATGTTTGTCAAATAAATTATTTTGAAATAAAATTAATAACTTATAAATTATTTTTAAAAAATTATTTTTAAATTAAACTAAAATAATCATATAATTAATAAACTATTTATCGTATTTCACCAACCAACTTGTTAGAAGTAGCAGCAGGTTCAATTGTCAATGGGAGGAGTTGATGAGCCAAGTAGCCAACTAAGGAGAAGAAACAACTTAAATAGGCACTAGGCAATAGCAGGGTGCGTTTAGACTTGGCAAAAATCCATTCCATCAGTCAACCTAACCTTAACCCAATCCATAAAAATGAGTTAAAGTTTACATATCTCAACCTGCAATTCATAGATAACTTGTATTATCAACCCGTATGGATCACGGGTTGGGTTAGGATCAACCTACGGGTTGACGGGTTGACCCATTTGTTTTATTTTTTATTATTTTTTTAAATATTATACTTATTATTCTTAATTAATTTTTTTTATTGATAACTCCTTTCATTAATTCATACTCCCTAATTTCTAGAGAAAGAAGAAGAAATTATGATGAGTTTAATCTAATTATTCATGTATCATTTTTTTTTTT